GAGTTGAAGGAGTCTAAAATCCTGCCCGTATGTTTCTGATATCATAAATCGGACGTAAAATACAACTAACTCACACACAGATAAGAATATGTTGTCACCGGTTGACATAACTTGTGGAAGATGTCTAGCCTCGTTCTTCGAGTCCCTTGTTACAAATGGCGCTGAAACGCATTATGGTACACGAATTGGTACTCGATTCGTGTACCAATGGTAAAATGTTTAATTTGTCTTAAATTTTGGATACCAGAAGCCCATTTGTTCCTGGTAAGATCACAACATCAATATTGATTTAAATTGACAAATAATTCGCGTTTTCAATGTCGAAGACTTTGGATGCTTTTGACTTAGAGACTTAGCTACTTTAACACTAAAATAATCGGCGAATTCAATGTGCCATTAAAATCCCTAATATCTTAAGGCTTCGGTTCAAATTTTAAAAACATAGTAGATATGACACCAAACAATGATTCATTAAAATCTCATGACAAAATTAGCCATTACTTTACTAGATTCATGGTGCTGATCGCAAGAATAATTTGGGGAATTTGAAATTGTTTTGTATTGCGCGTTATCAAGACATCTCACTAAAATCTAGAATGAATCACATCTCACTAAAATCTAGATTCATTCACCGCCAACACTAACAGCTGTTACTCGAGTTGGCAATAATACAAACACAAGTACAGATCGATTCGTTCATCGTTTTTTTTAAACGTATAAAATGTGTAATAATGTGTACCAAAAGCATTGGCTCTTTCAGACCTTCAATTTGAAGTTGTTCTTGCACGCATCTTTCTTTTAAATTGATTAAAGCTAGAATTGCATTATTTTCTAAGAAAGTCAAAACATAATCATTCTAGCACTTATAATACATTCACATAAAAAGATGAAATAATTTCAACTCGACGACGCTATTTGGAAATTGTATTATTTCTTTTCACCGGAAAACTAAGTTTATGTCTCGATTGTCAAGATCCGTGGTTAAACAGATAAGGATAATGATGCTTGTTGGGTGAGTCTTTTCAAACGTGTACACGTGACATAACACATTGAATATCAAACGTTGGATTTAAAAAGAAAATTAAAGATTTGCCAATTTCGCAATTGACACAAATGAAGTATAGGATTTAGGATTATTCTTTAACTAGATATGACTGCGTGAATAGATGCCACGTATTTTAAGGCTATTTTAAACATATATATGACTACGCGAATTTTATTGAACACTAATAGGGTTTGGGTGTATGGTAATTCTACATGGTAAAAATATAAATAGCTGTAAGGTTATTTTCGAGCTAAATGATTAAATTATTAATTAAATAAATAAATAAGAAAGTGCAATGAATTAAAATCGTCGCTATTTCTGTTTTTTTTTCTATTAACTCAAGACAGTAATAGGATATGTTGTCGTTATCGGTAGACTCTTTAATCTGTAAAACCGGGCTTATGTCGTCTTACGACGAGGAATAACTAATTTTAGCTGATCTATCTGAATGTTCAGTCTGGTTAATCGCGGACATGGACCCCATTTTGTTATTACCCGATCTGTAAGTTAAATAGCGCTAAATTTAGAAAGAAAAACACATTTTATTAACCTCTCACAACTACGACAATAGTTATCCAGACAAACCAGTTTTATCCGATTGTAAGCGACATAAAGTGGTTTCCAATACGTTTTTCGTTCATGGCGACTGGATAAACGAAATTCAAATAATCGAATAATCGCTAAATCTAACCCTACAGCGAATTCCAAGTGTTAAAGGGACAATAACACTCTTGCTGGCTTGACAGCTCCAGAAAATAAATAATAGCCTTATTCTAAGTATTAGATGTTTATGTGTCCTACCTGTTGTGTAAATTATCCATTACATCCTATTTTACTTGTTCAGAGGGTTCGAAAATATTTTTAAATCCAAGTCACATTTGAAAAGGTTTACGTTAGGCTTTTCAAATCATTTAGTTGAATTCTTCCAATTTTTAAATTAGGTGTGTTAAGATGAAATTGTATCATCAATTAATTGGAATATTTTAAAATAGTACAATTTGTTGACTAGAATAAAGCTTGGGACATATTATTCAGTTACAACAAGAGTGGTATTGAGCCTTTAAGGATCTGTTAAGGTGTACGCCAACGAGTTCACGGGTCCTCTGAAAATCCCCGGGGGAGATTCTCGGCTAACACCACGATAGAAGTGTGGTACTGTGGCCGGTATGTACCTGGATAGATGTGGAGAACAGTTTATGCTATCTAGCAATAAATATGTCCCGTTGTGTTTAAATCCACATACACATCAAAGAGACAGAAGTTATTGGTTATAAAAAATATATAATATGCACTTTCACTGGAAAGGGGGAATAACTCTTTATCTATAGGTGTCACTCCACTAAATATTTATGTTATTGGTAAATTCTTTCTCCACTGTTATCCACATTTTGCATCCCCGATTTTGATTATCTTCTGTCCCGGACAGTACGAACATGATTTAATTTTCATTTTGGAGTATATTAATGATCTTGCGGCGTTAGGATCTGGAGGTGACCATACCTCCGTTTAGAAAACTTCATATTAAATCCCATTTCCACCATAAGTTTATTAGATATATACTGGCCGGATTTCATAGTTTTAGAATGGACGTCAATTGAAAGCAACTGTAGTGTATTTCTTTAATGAAATTTACATTCGTTAATATCCTTTTAGACCATGAATTTGACACTTTTAGGGCGAAGAATTTATTAACAATAAACTGTGAATAGCAACAAAAATATTACATATGGAGACAAAATGATCATTAATGCATGAATGCAAAACACTGGGTATTTTTCTTAGATTAAGTTTACAGTTAGCTTTTTACACAAATCTGAATCATTTTATCGTTAGTTTATATTCTAAAATCTAGAATAAATATAATTTAACGTGTTGGCTATTCTGACTGGTTTATTTGTACTTCGTGATGTGAAGACATGACATTTTTTATTTACAGTAAAATTCTTGGTGTTTAACGTCCTAATTTTTCTGCACCAACCGAGCTATTAAACACGTGCAAACACAACATGTCGTGTGTGATGGGATAAAATTTGTCAGCACATCTGCGGTGTTTCTGGCCAATCGTCATCAAATTCCAACACTTAAAGGGTCTTTTTCGTGCACGCAAACCTGTAAACACAGATCCTTAGTTGTTCGACTCTAAATTCGTGTCACAATTTCAGTAAAGTTAATCTAACCCAACTCCTTCTCCTTACATTATGTATTTAGTGAATGAATTAAATTATTTATCACAGATTTAAAATATTGAATGGATAGTTAAATTTTATTTGTTATTACTTTAAATTGTGTCGTTTTCTTAAATTTTTTATTTTGGTCGGAATCGTCCGGTCCCAATTCCATTTTTGATCAATTCCGCCATTACACACTATAACGTCAACGCCTCTTCCATCTTGAAGAATTCCAAGACATTTCCCGCTAAATTTATGAAGAATTGTTCGATCCTGAAATATAAATACATGATTGAGGTGTAATCGACAAGTATTATTAATCAAGCAGTCCTTATATTACATGGAGTGTTTGTGTCTCAACTAATTGGTTACGCGAGAGCTTGTTCATTTTATTCTGATTTTTTAAGTAGATTGGGGCATTTGTCATCTAAGCTTCAACTACAGGGATACTTGCGAACTAAACTTATTAAAACCTTTAAAAAGTTTTATGGCCGTCATATTGACTTGATTGGTAAATATAACATGTCTCTCTCGGCTATTATTCTAGATATATTTAATTGACGCGTATACTAGCTCCCTGATAATGTCTGTCTACTACATTGTTAACACTGTTCATCACGTGCATTTTGCATACCGATAGTCCATTGGCCAATCACGCTATTTTACCGAGATTTCGCCTAATACTTTGGATGCAGCTATGGCCGGTGAGGCGCCAGGCAGGGTAAGCTTACTCTTCCGGACACCTGTTACCACTGTTTGTCGTGTAGTTTGTCCATATGCTGATTACACTATTTTGCCTTATTACACTATTTTGCCTATACCTTTTTTTAGGACTGCGAATTTTGTCTAATGGTTTGGATTGTTCGTACGTGGTTTTATTTTATTAGTTGTCATCACTGTTTTTCAGATCCACGTCTTTGGAGAGATAAATTATACTTCGTAATAACATCCCGTATTTATAAAAACTTTTAAAAAAATAAATCAGTATTATACTAATACTCTATTATAATGTCTGACAAGTATCGAGATAACTGAAGTAAATAAAGTAAAGGGACGTACAATATTGTATGGAAATAGGACGGATTATGGAAATAGCCACATCAAAAAATAAACAGCTAATGAATGGATTGACATCCTTCTTCGACATAATATTATCCCACACCATTGAGTTCACCGATGTCGATATAGTGAAATTCTTTGGGTTACACTTTCATATAAATAACCTATACATATTATTACACATATGTGTTTTTTAGCACAAACCCCGCCATCCATATTTGTGCTAAAGCACACATACGTATAATAATATTATGGCCTTGATTAACTATTCTCCATTGCCAGAATATTACTTATGGTATGAGTTCATTTAAAACTCAAATTCAATTGTTTATGAAATATTGTTACAATTGTAGCCGCTAGAGGGTGTTTGGGATGAGCTACACCTCTACAAGCGTTTTATTGCATTTACGAAACAGGTGTATTCATTTCAGGGAAACATTCCTCCGAATAAGGCGTCAATTTTACAACGTATCTTGCGTTACAAAAGTGTTTGTGAACTCCAATTTAAGTGGGGTTTTGTTTGTAATACATGTATATGGAGTTAATTGCATTAGTAACACAGGTATAACTTATTTTAGAGTGTTTACCCATAACGAATATATGTCTTTCAGAATATTATCAGGTATAATAATCTTAGGAATATTTCATAATGCCTCAAGTGTATATTATTTTAGCTTGTATACACTTAAAGACGTGTAAATGTTCCAAAATATTACTAAGTATCTTAATTATATCTTAATTAATTATTAAGGTGCATAAATGAATAAACTATATTTTTCAGCTAAGTTGTAAGGATATGTGTATTGATTTTTCCTCACAATTTATATTCATTGTAAATTGATACAGATAGTCTAATTGCCCAACAGTAGCTGAATTTGAATCAGTCTAATGGATATTTGTCAATTTAATGTCGTTGTAAAATGGCGCGAACTAGCCGAGGGTCTATATGTAATCGGGGTCGGGTTAACCGCCGTATACTAATTATCACAGAGACCTATAGCCAATTTCAAGTTTTTTGAACTCACACCCACGTTGGTGTAATAATTAAAATGTAAGCGTAATTTACAAAACATCCTTGAGGGGTAATGCTTAATCTACACCCACGGGTGTAACTTTACACTGTCTGAGTGCATCAGGCAGGTTACACTACTGGAGGTGACAACTAACATCTAAATTGGTGTGATGTTCTACACTAGTTGGGTGTTATCAGATTACACCACTAAAGGCTAGGAGTTACCCATATTTAGGTGGCAACTAGTTTCCACGCGAATTGGTGCAAACTACCTTATTATTTTTATCAGTGTAGTGTTCCAAACTAAAAACTCGAAAGAAGGAAATAAAAGTTGGTCATCTAGCTGCGTAGAGCAAATTGTAGAGAGTCAGCGAACGATGACCAGAGTAAACAACCCTCCTCCAACAAGAAGAGCGTAGAATAAGATTGAACCGTTGGAAAACACAATGGATTAATAGAAATACCTTTCTGTAAATCCAGCCTTCGTTATTAAATTCAGCGCATGGTGTAACCACCAACATCCGGTCACCATCGACATTTAAACATCCCTCGTCTCGTCTGATCTGGTTTTCTTTCGTTAAAGTAAAATGCTGAAATAAGAAAAAGAAATCTAATCAGTTTTGTTTAAGTGAGACCTTTGTTGAAGCCTTACCCTGGACCTACGACTTAACCCACGACTTGTTGGGCTCCATGCACAACAACGCCCAAGCCTTTACGGGGGGGGGGGGGTGCGCAAAGAGACAGTTGAGGCAAAGTTCAAGGTCAAGGGGGCAAAGGCACAAGCTTCAACTAGGGTAAAGGGGGGGGGGTCACATTTCCCCTCCCCTCGCACCCCCACTGACCTTGTGATCCCAGAATGGTGCCAATACGTTAGGTTACGAGGGAGATTGACCGTCGTCCCACTACATCTGGCACCAACCATTCTATTAATCAACCTTCTCTAGATCGGAGCAAGGAAGGCAAGCAGCACCCGCTTGTCCTCACCCCTGCAGTACTAAATTTGTGGGTTTTTTTGTATTTGTATTACGTGCCCTCAAGAGCAAAGTCATTGGTTTGAAGTGAAAATGGCCCTGAATTGTCGCAAATCGTACGATTTTCACTTGACCATTACGACACGAGTTGGTGCGGAAATAGCGTCGGCGAGCTGTATACTCCAATACATTAGACATTTCCATAACACGGCATTCCACCCTATTATACGTTTCCTTAAAGATACATTATGTAAGATATGGATAAAGAGCTGACAGTTCTCGCCAAATAGTTAAAATAAATAAACAATGAAGAGTGAATATGTTGAGAATTTCAGTCAAACTACTTCATTCTGAGCCAAGTTACACTGTTAGAAATAAATGTTAATTTATCGTAAGAATGTGGTAAAATATTTACGTAGTTGTATGTTATTTTACAAATGTATATTTTATTACACCAAACCTGAGTGATAGTACAAATAGTCGTAAAAACATATTATACAGGTGATTTTACCGTGAAATAATTTATTTTTACATACGTAACGTCAAAATACAATAATGTTTAGTGTATTCAAACTATAGGAAGATGTACCGTAGCCCAAATTGGTTGTCGTAAAATGTTGAAATCACAGAAATGTTTTATTCAATAGTAATGAAAGCAAACCTTGAAATATTTTTGTTAACATTTCTCAACACACAACCAATTAACAGTGACCGTTGAAGTCCACAACCAAATAGCAAATGGTGTTACGACAACCACCAGGTAAACTGTCAGAAAAGTATGTAAAATTACAGTAGTACAAAGGTTTTTTTGTACCTCAATTATCGGTATATTTTACAACATATACTACTTTTACCAAGTCTAATGTATTTTTACCGAGTTTTAAGTATGTTTATCGAGTTTCATGTCTTTTTGACAATAAGTGGCGATGGAATCAAGGACATATTCAAAATCCTGTAAAAATACATATAATGTAATAAAATTGAACTGAAAGTAACGCAGCAAGCGTGTTACTTTACAGATTTAACGTTTGTTCACATTATTATGTAACGTTTGTTCACATTATTTTAGGTAAGAAATATAAGTAAAATTACAGCAGTTAAAGAATTTGTTTTTACCTTAAAATATTGAACGGAAAATAACATAGCCAGCATGTCAGTTTACAGACTTACGTTTATTTACATTATTTTGTAAATTTACCTATTCGGTAAATTTACTTATTCGGTAAATTTACTATCTCTTATTGTATTTTAGTATTCCATAGAAACGAAACATTCCTAATAAGTATCTTCTTATGGTATTCATTTCAATTTATTAACCATAATATGGACAATCACATCTGGTAAATTTAGTATATTGCATGTCATGTATATCTAGTTTCCATTATTTATAAGATCTATAAAGTGTATTGATATTTAGCGTACGTTAATCAGTTTGTAAGTATTTTCTTAAATGCATAAAAAAAAAATGTTTTGACTTTCTGGCCGTAGGTTGTATTATCTCGTTTTCAAGTTCACTTGAAGACGGTAAATTAAACCGATTGACCAGTGTTAGTTGGGCCGGACTGTCTGTAAAGCAGGGTTATAATGCCTGCAAATAGTAGTACCGCCAGCTTACATCTGAAAGCCTGGAACCATGCTCTCGTCTACCAAACAGGATTATCGATATTCAATATATATTGAAGTGATATTAATACGAAATATTTTACACCGGGGCTATTGCTCGAATCTTGCATGTAAAATTACCAATATTAGTATTTTTAACAAAAATGTAAATTAACAGTGTGATGTATTTTTACAAGAAATGTAAATTAACATTGTGATGTATTTTTACAAGAAATGTAAATTAACAGATATGTCCTTCTACAGTAAATTGTTAAATAACTAATGGTGTAATTTTACCTATGATTTAGGGGCAACTTTTGCTGCCCGTAATTTTAGGGTAAAATAACCAAAATATTTCTAACAGTGTAGGGTTGATTGGGGAATAGCGGGGTTTCATTTGTCATTGCCAGCGTTGTTACGATAGTAAACAAAGTCCCGATTATCCATTTTTTAATTAAATCAGTAACTGCCAATCGTTTTTAAATCCGTTGAAATTCAAAAGCATCTGATGGTCTTGTCATGTTAATAAATGTCTATAACTAATAATGTATATAACATTTAAGACCTAAATAAAGACCTGCAATAGGCAAATTCAGTTCTTGAATAATGCATCTTTAACACGGTATTAAACCCAATTAGACCTTTTACTTACAAGATATTCCACCCAATTAGGCATTTCCTTAACACAGTAATAAACCCAATTTGACATTTCCTACACGATGTTCAACCCAGTTAGACATTGCTTAGCACCTTATTCAACCCAATAAGACATATCCTTAACACAATATTTAACTTAATTAGAAATTTCCTTATAAAGTAATGGTGTACATACCTGAATTAAAATCTGTTTGCTACAGTTGTCTATATAAACAGATTTACCATAATTCGCCCAATGAACTGGAGTTTCAATACACTTGTGTGGATAGGCCACATTGCTTATCTAATATTGGGTAAAAAGAGGACACAAAATGAAAAGGTAAATTACAAAAACAACAACTAGAAAGGAATCTCTCCGGATGTCATTGTTTCATATAAAAGAGTGTTTGCCTTTTTTTAAATTGTATTATTTTACAAACTTACCTGTCCTGATGCCAGCCAATCGAATGGAAGATATATATCCGGAAAAGCGTTGTCAAGGTACCATTTAAAAGATTTACATTGCAACTTGTTACGCAATACTTTTCGATCAAACAAATCAGTAATTGTTGCAGTCTTCTGAAGAGAAAGACGATTTATTCAATAGAGCAATAGTTTAACTATTGGGTTTGTTTCAAATAATTATATATTATTTTTCTTTAATATTGTAATCAAAGGTTTGGTAGAGTATAGATTCAAGACACTAACCGAATCCCCTGACCTCATGTAGAGCGTTTATTTATAGCAATTCTCGATCTCACCCCCTTTCGCATAGCAATTGTTCGTCTAGAATCGACGAATTTCCATGCAGGGATTTAGGACATTTTAATGAATTTGGTGGATAATCATGATTTTGGTGAATTCATGATTTTGAGACGAAATGATCAGGAAGAAAACAGACGTTCGCTTTAAATGGTCAGACTCTTTCAATATTATTATCCGGTGATTACATGTTAGTCTCATTGTGGCTATAAAGATCACATAATTAATGTTCAAAACAATGATAAAGCGTAAAGAAATGTCACGAATTTAACACTGAAGTCAATACTAGGCTGAATCCAAATCAATAAAGAGTTATATCCCTTGAATCGAGACGCCTGCTTTTGAGTTTAATTCAAAGGGAGGCAACTGCCTTGCAATTCAACAAACCTGAGTATTGAAGATACGATTGTAATAGAAATATTTGTAGTCATCCATCCAAACTTCAGCAATACGCACACAGTTGTGTTTGATGACCTCAAATGCATTGTCGTCGTCGCCGTAACCATACGGCGCAGTCTGTCGGAATAAATGACCAACTCGTGAACACGGGATTATTTCAATATGGCCACCACACATCCAAACCTGAACAGATTAATGTTGATTTTTAACCCATATCGGTATTTAGGATATATGCAAAAAAAAGATGTGAAGGCCATACTAGAAAATCTTAAAGACTAACAAAAGACACAGATATCTTTAACTGCCCGTCCCCGACGGTAATTTAAAATCATCAAACTAAAGTGTTAAAAAATAAAAGATTAGAAAATTGTATACCTTAAATGATAATTCTACGTTTTCACACCCCCATATCTTCAACTGACGGTCATACTGACCAAGATGTTTAAAAGTATCGACCGACATAGCAAAACAACATCCGAGATGAGTCGGTGATCTGCATAATGGACAAAATTTTAATTTTAAATTCAAATTACAGAATAAATAGAAATGAAATGAAATGATAGAAAATGGCGTTTAACGCCCTACTGTTCTTCTGCGACTAGACCAATGAAGACGATAGAATAAACAGAGACGAAGGTTTCGTTACGGCACCCGTGAGGACGGCCAACTCTTATTGTCGTGTAAATTTCAATGAACAGTAGAATGTTAAACCCCATTTCATATCAATTCAGTCCACATTACAACTCGCGCTTATGACACCATATCACGTAAAAACACTATTTTCCGTTTGAAGGGCACATGGCGACCCAGTGGGTAAGTTCCGAATGTACTCTGCATTGGCCGAGAAAGTTCATCGGGATTTTCCGACGTGGTTTCCCCTTGTCAGTGGTGCCGAACGGAGGTCCTGACAAGCACAGCTGTCTAGTCCTTCGGATGAGACGAAAAACCGACGTCCCGTGTATATATTGGAATGCACGTAAAAGATCCCCTGGCAGTTGGAATTCGATATAAGAGTAGGCGATAGTGCCGCTGCCCGGGCAAAATTTCCCTCATAGCACGCGTATGCACGTCTTCATTCGCCCAGTATAGGAGCAGAACAGTAGGACGTTAAACCCCATTTCATTTCATTTCCGAATGTACTGGCACGATGGCAAAGAACAGCATTCGGATGAGAAATGTGGCTGTCTGCATTAGCTCAGTTAATGATGTGTTATGTAAGCTTTAGATGATAAAGAGCTGGTCGTTGTTGCTATAATAGTTCCAAAATGTCGTAGCAACAATATTTGACAACCAAGGCTAAATCTGGCTTATCCATTTGATCGTTAAATGCTTAAATCTCGCTGGGGTTTAAATCCATTTAAATCATAGGTTATTGTATTTTAACAAAGTGTTACAGCATTGAGCAATGCTTCAGTTTAGTATAATAAAAAACAGTTTTAATGCTCTGCTTTACACGCATATACCAGTATACTATACAGACTACAACAAACATTCATTCTCAAATAAGGGTTGGTATTAAGTGTTATAGAACCTGATTGGCTTTAAAATGTCGAATTCCACGTTTTTATCTTTTCTCTGTGGAAGCCATGTGTAGTACAGGTCTAAGTCAAAACCTCCAATATTTTGGTCCTTGGCAGATATAGCCTGATACGAGAAATCATCTTGGTCAATGCTGTCTGTGGCTGGTACTGCAAGGATCTTTGGATTGCTTTGGATTCTTTGAAGCAGCGGTTCCAACCATCCTGAAAGTGGACAACAAAGGTATCCCAATCTGCTTAACACCAGATGCCAATATCCTTTCATTTTCTGGTTCAATTTTATATATTGGAAAAATAATATGAAACGAAATTGTAAAAAGATTTCGAATTCGATTGTGAATACTTAAATAAGGATTGGTGTATACATGTATGATTCATTATATAATTTATATAGTTTTTCATCAAGGAACAGACTACATGTTAATTATATGATACAGTTACGGTCACATCTTATCTGGGAAAACGATATTCTTTTGAAACCAATATTTATCAAATATTATCATCTTCTTATAATCCCAAAATTCAAAGTAAATAAATGGGACAGAACATCATGTTAACACAATCAATACTACGGTCATTTTGGAACTAACACAATTTTCTAAGTCTTTTCAGATGTATACAGTTTTGTCAATTTCGATTACCATTCCACACTTACTTTCTGGCATCTCCACGTGGGAATCAAGAAAGACAACTGCATCACCAGTCACGTGTTTCAAGCCTTCCATGCGGGCTACCATCAAACCGGATCGTTTTTTCAATCGTACTAGCATAACATTTTTGAATCTTGAAACGTATTCTTCTAGTTGTTGGTGTAATCCACCTAGAAAGTATAAAATGTCACTATGCTTTAAAACCGTTTCTTGTATTCTCTGTTTTATTGTTTTCCATATATACCACGTTTGCTGGCAATGTTTGTGTAATTGATGTGTTTTGTCCGCAGGTATGTCTTATATGTTTTAGGTGTGTGTAGTGCGGTTTTCCTGCGAATACTATTGTAGTCGCTATCAATATGGATAGACTATATACTTTTCATTTGTAAGTCCCCACTTTATCATAACCTGATAACAAATGTACCGTTTGGGAAGTATTTACTATACATATTTAATCGAAGTTATGCCAATGATTTAATTTTAATTACTGACGGGTGACAGGCCTCTATTGATATTGTAAGTCATTGCCAAGAGAATGTTATATTTTTACTGGCTTGAATGACCAGATCATGTCACGTCAATAACTGACGTGCCATGAGATGTCCATCATCATTTAATCTCTGCTCCCCGGCTTTAACAGATCAAATTAGTACATTTTGGCGATAACTAGTATTTCCAATATTGGGGATACTCTTCGCGAGGATGGGGCTAAAAACAATATATACACCAGCCAATCAGACGCTTACAGAACACGCTTAATACGAAAACAACAGCTACAATCTAAATACTACCGGAGAAGAGAATAGGACCAGGATGATCGAAACTTGGTGGATTTCGACAGTGGGACAAATCGATACATCGGTGAAATCCATAAAATAAGAATTGGTTTTATTTTGGATTTTTTCTTTTCGTTTTTGACAGCATGATAGTATTAATACTCCTTCTCACCAATTGTAGAAGCATCATCCACCAGTATGATCTCTTTTAACAAGTCTCTTGGTACTGTTCGTAAAATACTGTGAAGGGAGCGTAGTAATACACTCCATGCCTCGTTATGAAATATGATAACCACCCCGGCAGTTGGTAGATGTTTATAGTTATATTCAACTTCCAAACATCTATCAATTGAAATATAAAAAAGAGCAATGCTTCATGTGACTGTTTAATAGTTAATGTTACTGATATTGTAAACAGCTTCCATTATACCGTCACCAGAATATAGTTCGGATATTTAGTTTGGGAAACATTTATCAAAAGATAAAGTTTCTTTTAAATAAAATTATACAATATTGTTTAATCAGTCCAGCAGACAGGAAAGTGTAGATGACAGACATGAAATGAAATGAAATGGGGTTTAACGTCCTACTATTCGGCTCCGACCTGGGCTAATGAAAACAGGCAAACACCATACAGTGTGCTATGAGGTAAATCTTGCCCGGACAGCGGCACTACGGCCTACTCTTATATCGAATTCCAGATGTCAGGGGATCTTTTACGTGCACGCCAATGTGTACACGGGACCTCGGTTTTTCGTCCCACCCGAACGACTATACAGCTGTCCTTGTCAATACAGGGATCGAACATCTGACCTCTAGTCTAGGGAGCCAGCGTCTTATCCACTTAGCCACCGTGACATCCCAGATGACAGATATGCATTCTCTCAAAAAACAAAGATGCAAGTTGAACAACCTCATACGATACGTTCAGGACATAGTAAATATAGCCTACTCTGGTTCGGTGACGTTAAATATTTTTCTAGTCAAGGGTATCATGTCACTCGCCATCTCGTTGAAATGATGTCTCAAATAACCAGTCTTATATTTTATTAAATCATCTGGCTTCATTTTCGTAGGATCTAGTAGCACACCTTTTCCGCCATAACCTGACAATAGATAAAATTACTTGCATTATGATGTAGACAAAGATGTGATTTTAAGTTTATAAATTGTCAGTCGTGACTAACAAGTTAAAAAGATATACACCATCGGACACCACAGACAACATATACTTACTAACAACGTGCTGTGGCAATCAGTGGGTCGAAACCCTGGCTGGTCCCTCTATAATCTGAATGACAATATTTACACAGTTTCGGGTAGTTGAATGGTGTCCATATACTTAATAAAAGGAATAATTATCCTGTTATAAAAGAGTTCATCAGACACAATATTTTGTTTATGATTTTGTTTATATTTTTATAGATTATATTTAGGATTTTATAGATTTTGTTTTTGATTTTATAGAAGTGATTTATGATTTGATTTTGTGTGTGATCTGATAGAATTGTCTCGATCTAATCTGCTCTAACTGTACAAGCAATCACGCAAAATCTGCCGAATACACCCTTCATTTTATAATTCCCATAGCTATCACATTTTCCACGTTTAGTTAGTATTGATCTAAACCCAAGTTTACACCATAGAATTTATCAGTAAATCATAACGACTTTGCTGAGTACATATCATCGACAATTATTACAGTGTGAACATATATATACATACGTAGGCCACTTCAATAATAATTCACACAGCTAACGGTCTTTCTGCTAAAATGTATCAAGGTTTAGTTGGTATTGGTCTAAAACAAGGCGTATACTATCGAATTCGAATTTGTCTAATTTGTTGACTACGTATCATAGACAATTATCTACGGGTCTTTCCAGATACAACCAGGAAACTTCCACACTGATCCGCAGTGAATATTCGCTTGGCCGCTACAATCACTGATAAGGATTACATCGATGCGACTTAATGACTACAAATTATTAACTTTTTTCTTTCGACAAATTAAATTCTGAAACATTTTTTTTTAGTATTAGAAAAATAAATAAAGGTGTTTGAAGTATATCTTGATAAAAAATATTCCATATTTAGCGTAAATAGGTACAGAAAATAGTACGCGGAGGCGTAAAATGGGTAAAACGATATAATTCTGCCCGTACCAGTTCATATTACTACGTTCGATGTAAACAACGCACGCGTGACCATCAATTTGACGTTTTTTTCTGTTTGTTTACTCTGAATTCTTTCAGAAGTACATTTTTTACCGTCTAATCTGATTGACCTGCTCGTGTTTGTTTTAAAACAACAAAAACAAGCCACAGAAGTAATCTATTTTGGCGTTATCGATGTCATCTTGCTTTGTTGGTAAACATTGTGATGTGACGTCACCCTTAGAACTACAGCGGTCTGACCTTTTAAAGGTCAGTCATCTTGGACAGAGATAAAAGACGGATGTCGCATTAGGTCTGTAAAATAGATTGGGAAACTTCACCAAATTTCCAACTTTTTGATAAAATGTCAACTGTGGGAATTCACCATAACTGACAATATTAGTGGTAAGATGAATGCACTAACCTTTAGAAGATGGATCGTCTGCCTCTTCCAGATAAACCAAATTAGCTCCCATTCTTGTATTATGACGTAGTGTGTGATGACCCCTGACGTAATCATTCCCAACATTGCCCAGCGTGTAGATCAATGTACAAGTCCATATAATAATAGTCAAACCAAACAAAAGTCCGAACACGGCTACTTCAATACTCACAAGGTGCTTCATTTTCTTCATTACAATTTCTCTGCTCTCTCATGTATTATACCAATTTATTTAAATTTGTATCTTGATTTCGTTTCTATTTTCAAACAAAAGTTCCCGCATTGCTACTTCACAAGTTATTTCATTTTCTTCATCAGTAACTATCTAAATATGACTTCGGATTATCAAACACAACGTTGTTTAACTGCAGAAATGCACCAAACCTTTGGAATCAAGAGCAGCCATTGTATTTGAGAGCTTATCGTGATGTTCGGAGAGTTTCTCTTGCAATAGGTTATGTTAGATTTGTTTCCGACATAATCATACTGGTCGTATATTTACAAATGTATAGACATTTGGTTATGCAGTACAATGGCCAATGCTATTGTCGGTAACAATGATATCAAACCGAGACATGCTGTCACCAAGTCTCTTAATAACGTAGATTATCTTTATCGCCAGTTTATATAACATTATCACGTTCAGCCTTTTGCCATTTGGTGATAGGGCTTAACGTCTACTTTAATCGACGGGGATGTCTCAGGTATAAGATTGAAACGGAATTGCGAGGAGCAGAAATAATTCCCCATACATCCCACATTAACTATTCAAGTCTATTAAATATTAAATCGCTGCGTTTGGGAGGACCTCCTTTTAGCTATGCTTTATAAAGACCCCCCGATGAAAAAGGGAATATATATTTGAGATGATTTTTTTAAAAAGTAAATGCATTTCATTTGGATGTATCTGAGCCTTTTTGCAGAACCCGCCGTTAGGCCGAATGTTTAGCACGTGCGCGCTGTATCATATAAGGTCTGTCATTGAGTCAACTGGCGTGATTTCGATTCGCCAGTTGTACGTGACAAGGAGTAGGATGGCCTGCCCAACCTCGTCCTCCGGTTTCCTCCCACTTCTAAAGACCCCTACGCGCATACGAATTATTGAAATAAAATTGAACTTAGTTTGTGTCGAGTGGACGTTAAACTCTCTCTCTCTCTCTCTCTTTGCAGAACATTGTAAGGGCAGTGCGATTTACCCAATACTACCTATATACTACCCAATACCAATCAATACTAACCAAATACTTCTAAATACCATCACATACTCTCTCATTATTGTAAAAAAAAACTTCAATTATGTATATGAAAAAGTTGAGTTTATTCGCGGAATTGTCAAACAGTGTACGTCAAAACTGGTGGCCAATGGCTTGCTATTGCAGTTCTTCTCTCCCTTAATCACACAGTAGTAACAAATAGTAAAACATACGACCAAAAATCAATCCATTTCTGAAACATAATAGGTCAATATTACATAAAATATTGTTCAGTTTGTCCTATTTTTTTATTTTTATAGATATGGTGTGTGGACAATAATCACAGTTTATATATAAAAACAATTCGAACAAAAAAAATCTCTTTTATATCCACCAAATATTTCGTAACATTAGCTATTTTATTCGCAGCTTTCTCCAAGAATATTCTTGTATTATTAGAAGTAAACAAAAATATATTTTCTAAGCGAAATGTATTTAGTCATTAACAGAACACTGTTTTTATGGGAAACAATCACTAGTTTTATTCTAAAAGCACGACGTTTCCACAATTTGTTGATAACGATAACAGGATACTTGTCGAAACGTCGTGCTTTTAGAATAAAATTAGTGATTGTATCCCTTAAAAACTGTGCTCTGTTAATGTGTTTCCGAGATCGCTAAATGCCGCTCAAAGATTTTGTTTAATCATGCAATTTCTCTGTTTCCACATGCACTCTAATTTACAAAAATCTCAATTTAATAAATTTATATCATAATTTCGTTTCTAATTTCAGTTCTGATTTTCTTCACGGGGTATAAATTAAATTGCAAATGCATATGCCCTAGAATTATTTGTCAAATCTTTCTCTAGTTTCATTTATTATTGTTTAAAAATAAATTGCTTTATTTAACGAAGCGAATATTGTTTATGAAATCGGTAAGTCTTTGATCCACTGAAGGATAAACATATGTAGATACTAAAATATTTTATTTGTATATTTAATGAATATTGTTATTATTAGTTTGGCTAACGAGGAAGCGATGTGTGGAATTATTTTACTTAATTGATAATCCAGGGGTCTACAACTCTTAAAATTATGATTTAATAAGGGCCAGGTGCCGATTGTATTCCTGCAGGTGTTTTGACAAGCTATAAAGGAAGAGAGGCTATGTTTCTAAGAGACAATTTAAGGAGAGGCCACCAAGGTAAAAAGTTTTAATTATTTTCTTTCTTAGATAAAATATTTTGTAATGTTATTTTTTTTTGTTTAAGTTATCTAAAACATTATAAAATATAAATTTAATTTCGAAATTTATAGGATTAAAAGTATACAAATTCGATACAAATTGGCCGTTCCTTCCAGTATTGTTCCCGTTATGACTAGCGATGTAATAGTGCCCCAAAACAGCTTAGCATCTAATCTATTGGGCGGTGAGAGGGGGTTATGTAGTTAAGACAACTGGAATGTCGTGATTTTTAATCTTCTTACCAATCCAGA